AAAAACCATTGTGGAAGGATACAAACTACAACGGTTATTAACCGTTGTGTATATAATATAGAATAGACAACATTGCTAAAGTCAACAGTTTTAAAACTAAAACCACAACGGTTTTTAGCCGTTGTCTATTACCTTTTTTGTAGTAGTGATCATGTCATCCATATCCACCTCAATGTCTTCAAACTCTAATTTTGATAGGGCGTCTGAAAAACTGCCTGATTGGATTGCAGGATTTGTTTTTTTTTAACTCGATTAGATGGGTTTTCAGGTTGAATGGTCCCTTAATTTCGACCCGATTCGCATTTGGTCCCTCATTTTCCAAAATCGTTCCTATGATCCTTAAACTTTAGTTTCGTTAGGACAAATGGTCCTGCAGTCAGTTTTGTTAACTTTTTTTGTTAAATTTGAGCATGTGCATGGCATATGATGTACTGTTGAGGGTCAAAATCAGAAATTGCATCACTCTTGGGAGAAAAGCCTCCCTGTAACGGGGATTCCATAGTCAGAATTCCACATCAGTATCCCCATCCAATAAAATACTGACAGTTGGAAACCAATTTTAAGTTTCAATTTAAAATTTACAAATATTTTCTGCACCCGTTTTCTCCTCTCTCTTCAGCACCCTATCTCTCCTCCATTCCCTTTCTCTCTTCAATCACTCATCCTTCATCACTCACACACTATATTCCGACGTCACTCTCTCTCCTAAAGATATGAGGAATCTCTCTCCATGTTGAGCCATTCCATTATCACTTTTTCATCTTCAATTTAAATATATTAGAAAGAAAAAAAAGGCAGAGAAATCAATAGGTGATGAAGGAGTGATCGTAAATTGAGAGTAACAGAGTTGCATAATTTTTATGAATTGAGAAACATGAATGGAGGAGAGGGATGGATGCTGGAGAGAGAAGAGGATGGATGCATAAATTAAAAATAATACAAAAATATCATTTTGCCCATGCATTTAACATAAAAGATAACAAAATTGGCAGTAGGATCATTTGTTATAACGAAAGTGAAGTTGAAGGACCACGTGAACTATTTTGAAAATTGAGGGGCCAAAATGCAAATTAGGTCAAAGTTCAGGGACCATTAGACCCAACCCGATTAGATTTATCTTGGTCGAGACTAGCTGGGGATCAGGATACCTTAAACGTCCTACAAAGTCTACCAATTTAGTGCAAATTTTGATCTATGAGGTGTTTAGTTGCGAGGAGCTGCATTTTGAAGAAGGATTTCCGAAAGTCAAAGAGCTCAATCTTATAAAATTGATGAGAATTTACAATGGAGCATTGCCTCTTCTTGAAAGTTTGTTAATTGGGACCAAGTCCGCAACTGCAACAAGAAGTGCCCTCCGACATTCACAACCTGAAAAATCTAATATGCCCTTCCCATTTCACATAACAGAAGGGATTCAAGTTCAAGAAACAGAGCACCAGCACTCATCATTAGTGAATATATGGCCTTCCAAGAACTTTTTTTTTCTTTCCTTTCCTAATGTAAATGTACCTTTTTATTCTGTTATGTAATCAAAGGTAGAAATGACTCATTATCTTCTCACCTTGGAGTTTGGAAACATTTATTCTAAACTAAAAGAAACACAACAATTAAACTAAATGTGATAAAATTGCATGTATACAACATTTTCAAAGTACCTCCACTCATTTATTGTATCCTTGGTCGTCGATGTTTGAGTTCTTGCACGTGTGTTTTACAATGTGGATTATGTGTTGAAAGAGAGCTCCTAAGTTGATCTTCCTTCTTTGTTGAGCATGCCTATATGCTAGCTGCTTCAACTGACTGCCTATACTATTTGCATTGCGTTTTGAATGCTAATCTCTTAGGGGGCGTTTGGTATCCTATTCCGATAGAGAATTCAAAAACTTTGATTTTTCTTAAAAACAAGGAGTTCTTAAATTTATTTTTAAGATTAAAAAACTTGTTTCGTATGCAACTTGAAAACTGTTTTCAAATCTTAAAAATTTGAGAACTTGTGGGTTGTTAGAAAAAAAAACTGAAAAAATAGATATTTTTTGTTTTTAATAATTGGAATGTTTTTTAGTTGTTCTTGAATTTGAGTTTTTAAAAATAGGGCTACCAAACAAATTTTCTTTGTTTTGGACTCAAATTCTATTTTTGAGTTTAAAAAGTTGGATTCAAGTTGAATACCAAACATGCCCTTACCTTCTAAGCATAATCTTTTTTATGTTTTCAAGAAATTATCTTGTTTCATAATATGTAGAATATGAGTGTTATATCTAATTCATTTTTCCCGGGGTTGCTCTGCTGGTCATATATAATCTTCTATCACACGCGTGAACAAAAGTCTAGTAAGAACAATATTATATTTACAAATTTATAAATAAACCCAATTCTAGACATGTATTTATAAAAAAACCCAAGCACTATTTAAATATAGAAACACACCCAAAATCAACCCCAAAATCAACAATTGTATATTTTTTGGGTGTGTTTATAAATGGGTTTTGAGTGTGTGTAATGATGGGTTTTGGGTGTGTTTATAAAGTGTTTTGGGTGTTGGGTTTTTTTTATAATTTCAGCCCCTATTTTGGGTGTTTTAGTGAAACTCCCTATTATATTTTGATGTGCCCACGGAAAGAAAACAAAACCAAGCATAACCAAATATCTATTTTAGCATCAAATGTTAAAAATGCAATCATTAAAAAATAAAAGCGGGGAAGTATTTTTCAGTCATTCTTCATTGTAGAGAAGCTTGGTTTGATCAAGTAGGTTGTTAGGTGTAAAATTAGTTTTCTCACACATACTGTTAAGGTGTTATGGGGATTCGAATTTAAAACCACTCATTTGCAAGTCAATATCATTTTTCACTGGACTAGACCATGTTGGCCCCCTTTCCATTGTCTATGGTTTGACTTTATGCTTTATATGGTAAATTTTGAGTTTGGGTGTTGGGGTTAAAGTTCATTATGATGGGGCTAAATTTTGAATTCGACATGCACATAAGAAGGTTGGGCATTCAAAAACTGGCTAGAAAACAAGGGAAAGATCTATGCGCCTCCGTTGGAAAGATGTCTAACTTGCAATCATTAGAAGTAGTAGCGATAAATGGTGATGAAATTATTGATTTACAGTCTATCACATCTCCACCTCAACGTCTTCAAACTCTAATTTTGATAGGGTGTCTAAAGAAGCTGCCTGATTGGATTACAGGATCTAGTTTTTTTTTATAACTTGATTAGATTTATCTTGGTCGAGACTAGCAGGGGATCAGGATACCTTAAAAGTCCTACAAGATCTACCAAATTTAGTGCGACTTTGATCTATAAGGCATTTAGTTGCGAGGGGCTGCATTTTGAAGAAGGATTTCTAAAACTGAAGGAGCTCATTCTTATAAAGTTGAACAGTTTAAAGTTCATGAGAATTCACAATGGAGCATTGCCTCTTCTTGAAAGTTTGATAATTGGACCAAGTCCGCAACTGCAACAAGTGCCCTCCGGCATTCACATTTCATAGCTGGGATCCAAGTTCAAGAAACAGAGCACCGTGTAGGTCCTGGAGTAATTGTTGTGAAGACGGAAGGTGAAAGAGTCGAAAGAGTCATGACTGCCAAAGTAATAGATTCAGCAGTTTTCATGTACCACTCGTAAGTGGATATATGGCTTTCCAACAACAACATTTTCAAAGTACCTCCACTCATTCATTGTATGTTTGATGTTTGAGTTATTGCATGTGTATCTTATAACGTGGACTATATCTTGAAACAAAGCTCTTAAATTGATCATCCATCTTCTTTGTTGAAAAAATCTCTCTTTAAGAATAAATCTGTTGCACCAATATATTATAGTGAAGTTTTAAGGTTGTTATGTTTTAAGGTGTTCGTATGGATTGATTCGGTTCGGAATAGATTGCTTAGCCGAAGAAGGTGTAACATTACACATGTAAGAATACGTACTTTATTTTCTCCTTTTAATGTAATGGAAGGTGGCAATGGCTCATTGGCTCACAGTGCACTTTGGAAACAATTTGTATTCTAAACTAAATGCCTCCATTCGTTTCTTAGATGGTTGTCTGCATATTAATGCATTGCCTTCAGAATACAATGAATAATATCGCGGCTGCTGTTGAGTGTTTAGGCAAATCTTTCATTTCATTTTGGATGCTAATGTACGTATTATCTGTTCAGCATGTAGTCCTGGAAATCTGTCAAACAACTGTATTGTCCACTGCTCAGCATATGATGAGGGTTTTGACCCAAAAGAAAAGTAAAGCACTTGCAGAAGTTGGGTGGTTTGGTTGAAAACGCAATTACTTGTAGCAGTGGGCAGAGGAAAGGCCTTAAATTTCACCACTCATCATCTACCAAACAAGGAAAAATAGTAATCAGCTTACTCCTTTCTTATTGGACTGGAGAAATAATAATCAGCAAACAATAAGAAAAATAAGTTGCCATCATGTTGTGCAGCATTTTAAGTTAGTGGTAGAGCTCTCTCCTCTGTTTATCTTATCATCTACTCCCTTCTCCAACGTACGGCCTCTTCCTCTCTTGGCTTCATCTCTCTCTTCTCGTAAGTGCTGTTAATTTTCTCTGTTCTTATTTCTTTGATTATTTTGTTGATTTTTCTTAGTATTCTCAAACATCCATTTTGTTCTATCTTTAATTTTATCATCAGTTTTTTATATTTCAAATTTCTTTGGCGAATTAGATTTGGATTAGGCTATACCTCTACCTAAACTGATAACATCATCCCCACACCATCAGATAATTTAGTGATAAATTGACCGCAGTGCTATTGAAGACAGTTTCTTTTATATATGCAAGTCAAGCTCAAGAGTCAAGACCTGGATCATTAACTTATAAGAGAAAATACAGCAGGTATATATATAACTATTTATTTTCTTTTTCTTGAACAAGATAACAGAAAGTTTAGAATTAGTTCAACGACTTATCCTCTAATACGAGTAGTACATTTTTTTTTTTTTTTTGTTTTTTTTTTTTTTCAGAGCACAGTAGCTGAGTGATGGCAGAGATTGCAGTGAACATTGTCATTGACAAGTTGGTTCCACTGTTAAGGGAAGAAGGGAATTTGTTGAGAGGCATCCATGATGACGTTACAAGTATAAAAGATCTCCTAGAGAGCATGACATCTTTCCTAAAGGATGTAGATGCAAAAGTAGAAATGGCAAACATGAGCAGCGGTGTCAAACTTGGGTGAAACAAACAAGGGAGATGGCCACTCACATAGAAGATGTCATTGATGAATACCTACGTCACGTAGCATGCCGTCGTAATAAACATGGATTTACTGGTTTTATTCTTAAAATGAATCATTTTGTGAGAGGGCTATTTGCATGCCACGAGATAGCCTCTGAGATTCAACTCATCAAAAAACGTGTCCTCCAAATCCAACAAACAAGTGTAGCATATCGCTTGAATTCAACAGAGCAAACTTCATTTAGCTCTTCAAAGAGAGATGATATGTTATTTGACCCGCGAATGGCTTCCCTTTACACAGAGGAAGATGAACTCGTTGGTATTCAGACTTTGAGAGATAAACTGATAGGTTGGTCGATAGGAGGAGAGGTAGCATCTAGACGCTCAGTCAGTTCATTGGTTGGCATGGGAGGTCTGGGAAAGACCACTCTTGCAAACAAAGTCTACGACAACCCAAGGTTCACAGAATGGTTTGATTGGCGGGCTTGGATCACAGTGTCACAATCATACAAGAATGAAGACATACTCAGAAACATGATTGCAGAATTCCACAGGGTGAGGAAGGAGTCTGTACCAGAGGGAATTGAAACAATGGGTTTGAAATTGTTGATTGACACTCTGCGAGAATATCTCAAGGAAAAGAGATACGCAGTTGTTTTTGATGATGTGTGGAGCACAAACTTGTGGGAGTGTGTAAAGCTTGCATTACCAGATGACAACAATGGCAGTAGGATAATTATCACAACTCGCAAGAGTGAGGTTGCTGCTTCTTGCAGAGGAGCTTTTTCTGATCAAGTGTACGACCTTGAACCATTATCTCCAGATAAGGCATGGGAACTCTTCTGCAAGAAGACATTCCGAGTTTCCGGGGGATATTGTCCACTAGAGTAGAAAAAATTTGCTACTACAATAGTTAGCAGATGTGGAGGATTGCCTCTTGCAATTGTGGCTATAAGTGGACTTCTACAAACCAAAGGCGGGGATGTGTCTCAATGGAGAAAATTGCTTGATAGTCTTAGCTCAGAGCTGGAGTCTAATCCTCATTTGACAAATATTACAAAAATTCTTTCTTTTAGCTATTATGATTTACCATACCAACTCAGACCTTGCTTCCTATACTTTGGGACATATCCAGAAAATCGCACCATCACATGCTCTAAACTAATTCGGCAATGGATCGCTGAAGGGTTTATAAAGGAGCAGAGACGAAAAACATTGGAAGACGTTGCAGAAGAATACTTGACCGAGCTTATCCAAAGAAGCCTAGTTCAAGTGTCATTAGTTGATGATTTTAGTGGGAAACTCAGAGAATGTCAAGTCCATGATGTCATGCGGGAGGCAGTGATCTTTTTAAAGGCTGAAGATCTGAACTTTTCTCAATTTTTGGAAGAAGATTTAAGATTCAACGAAAATTCCAGGCACCTATCTGTTTATAGCAATGCATACAATATTTTTGGTAGCATAAAAAACTCTCGTGCCCATTCCTTGTGTTTTTTCAATGGCATAGGTGACCCACAAAATCCTCTTACTATTTGTAGCAACTTGTACAAAAGATTCAAGTTGTTGAGAGTACTGGACTTTGAAGATAGTCTTCTTGACAATCTTCCTGAGGAAGTTGGATACATGTACCACTTGAAGTATTTGAGCTTGATGAATACAAGAGTGAAGATTCTTCCGAAATCCATGGGGAAGCTTGTGAACCTTGAGACTCTAGATTTGAAGAATTCCCTAGTGCATCAGATACCAATTGAAATCAATAAGGGCCCGTTCGGTAATGTTTTTAGAGCTTGTTTTCTGTTTTTGTTTCCTGTTTTTCACAAAAACACGTTCGGTGCATCGTTTTCGTTTTCCCTCACAAAACGTTTTCTGAAAACAAATCTGACTTTGTGAACAAAAGTTGAAAATGAAAAAAAGTTGTTTTCAGTGATTTCATTTTCAGTGTTTTCCGAAGACACAAGAATGCATCCCATCAACAACTCTAGCTCTCTCTCTTGACAACCAATAAACCCACCAACAGGAACAACACCCATCTTCTCTGACCCAAAATAAACAAATCTGCAAATTAAGAAAAAAAAATACAGAGGAAGAAGAAGAAAAAAAAACAGAGACAAGAAGAAGAACCACCACATACCCAACTCAACCACCATCATCACCCAATCAAACCATCACAGCCATGGAAGGAAGGAGGAGTGGGTGTGGCTTGGGAAGGAAAGGAATAAGAAAAGAGGAAGAAAAGGAGAAAAAAGAAACGGCCTGGGGAAGGAAAGGAAGAAGAAAAGGGGAAGAAAGTAGGAAAGAGGAAGAAAAAGAGAAAAAAGAAGCAGCCATGTGAAGGAAAAGAAGAAGAAAAAAGGAGGAAAGAGAGAAAAGGAGAAAAAGAAGAAAAAGAAAAAAAGGAAAAAAAGGAGATAAGGTAGTTTTTGAGCTTAATTTTTTTTCATTGTTTACAATAATTTTAGCCTCTAAAAATATCAGAATTAAAAAAAATTAGAACTGAAATTAGCAAAAATACACCTGAAAAACAATTGTACTACCAGACACGTTTTCATTGTTTTTGTTTTCTAAAGATGTTTTCTAATTAATCTACCAGACGCATTTTCATTTCCTGAAAATGCAAATTTGTTTTCTTGTTTTCATTCTCTGAAAATATTCTCAGAAAACATTCTCCGAAAACGTTACCAGACGGGCATTGCCCCTTAGGCTTAGACACTTGAAAGGCCTAAAGTTGATGACAATACACAATAGAGCATTGCCCCTTCTTGAAACTTTGTATTTTGGACCTAGTCCGCAACTGCAACAAGTGCCCTCCGGCATCCGCCACCTCGAAAATCTTAAATCTCTATTATTCGTTGATATGCCTTTGCATTTAATGGATGAGATTCATGTTCTTGAAACAAAGCATCGTATAGGTCCTAGAGTATTTTTTTACTCAGAGCATTATAGGTACTAATACATTTAGAACCGTCAAAGTAATAGATTCAGCGATTTTCGTGTAATGGGTGAGACCTTTGCAAGGAAGGAAATAGCAGGTATAGTAGCACTCATTCATAAGTGGATGGATGGATATATGGCTTTCGAACACCAACCTTGTTATTTTTCATTTTTCTTTTCCAAGTTGTAAGAAGAGTAGTTTCTTTTTTCTCCTTTTCTTATTATGTAATAGAAGGTGGCAATGGCTCATTGGCTTACCTTGGACTTTCCAAACATTTAAATGCATTTCCTTCCATCTTCTTTGTTGAACATGTTTATATTATATATGCCTACGCTGATACTAATTTCAATGAATTCTGGATGTTAATCTATTAATCTATTATATTCTGGATGTTAATCTCTCTCTCTCTCTCTCTCTCTCTCTCTCTCTCTCTCTCTCTCTCTCTCTCTCTCTCTCTTATTTATGTGGTTCTTTTAGGATTTTGGCATTGTTCTTGGAATAGATTGTAATGTGTCCTTTTCCCCTAACTTTTGTTTGACGTCGTAATGTGAATTGTTATTTGGGTATAGTTGGGTAGATGTTTACTACTTCTGTTAAGATTGTACCTCTGATAATTCTGTTTGTGGCAAGATGTGGTTTATTTCTAAGAGGAAACACACAGGTGATGATGGTAGGGGTAATTGGGGCACTGTAAAATGTAAGTGAAGATTATACTGGTGGTTACGGGATTTATTTTGGACCCAGTTTTCAGGTTCTGGTTCATGTTGCTAGATTTTGTGGGTTGTTCAGTGAGTGCCCAGAGGATACCAAAAGTTACAGACATGGGGACTGTTGTCCTTTAGTATATCTTTGGACATCCCATGATATTTGAATTGCAGTATGTTGATTTATGTGGAATATCTTGAGGCAATTTATCAAATATGTTCTTATGGGCTCCATTAAAGGGTGTTCATAAAATCCTATTTAAATGAAAGCTATTCATTCAATTTTCATATGACAACCAAAAAGTCTTTGAGTTGTCCATCTTTCAGATAAATGATGAGGGATTCTCTTGCAAGTGCTCTTTAACTAGGCAATGCTCCAATACGATTATTTGGTGTGCATTTTATACATGTATACATCTTTCTAGATAGTGGATTCAGATCCCAGATTTGTTACCTAATGCATTTGAATCTTGTATTATAGCTGTTACAGCTTGTTTAAACTTATTTTCTTAGTTTGTTGAGTTCTTGCACCTCCCTCTATGTGAGCAGAGTTTTAAAACTCCTAGGCATCCAATGAATATTTATGTAAGCCCCCTTTGTCGAGTACTCGAAAAGAAAAACTTACTTTTTCTTTGTGGAGGAAGCTGCACTCCATGAATGCACCAAAACAAAAATTACTATTTTTCATTATATTTATGTATGTAGAACATAAGTGATTCACAAATCATCTTGAAACGCAGCTTTTAATTTAATTTAAATTGATATTTCCTAGACTTAAACTTGAAGGGCAAGTGATCTATATCGCGGGCACAGCAAATAAAAACACCATAGGCCCAAAAGCCAAAACCCTCCATAGCAATAATAAATATATAAAAAAATAAAAACAGAAACAAAATAAAAAGCCCAAAACCCTGTCCACAGCCAGTCCGTCTTCTTCACCCAGACCCCTTCTCTCTCAGACAGTTAAGCTCTGAGACGGTGCTAGGCAAATCGTACCAGAGGCTACCGCGGGTCAAAATCCGTGAAATGCGTGACGACTACATGAAGTTCGAGCTCCGCGACACCGACGCAAGCGTCGCCAACGCGCTCTGGCGAATGATGATCGCCGAGGCCCCCACCGTCGCCATCGACTCGTCGAGATCGAGATCTACTCGTCCGTGCTTAACGACGGGTTCATAGCCCACAGACTCGGCCTCATCCCATTGACATCCGACCGAGCCATGAGCATGCGCTTCTCACGTGACTGCGACGGCGACGGCCAGTGCGAGTTCTGCTCCGTCGAGTTTCATCTTCGCGCCAAGTGCCATTCCGACCAAACCCTAGACGTCACTAGCAAGGACCTTCTCAGCTCTGACCACACCATCGTCCCCGTCGATTTCTCCGATTCCGCCGGCGTGGAATCTTCCGAACAAAAGTATGTACTTTCCCTCTCTCTCTCTCTCTATATATATATATCTTATCTATAGGGTTTTTTAGGATTTTGGTATTGTTCTTGGAACAGATTGTAATGTGTCCTTTACCCCTAATTTTTGTTTGACGTCGTAATGTGAGTTGTTATTTGGGTATGGTTGAATGGTTTTGCTGTTGAAATTGGGTTATTTACTTTTGTTGTGGTTTTAGAGGGATTATCATTGTGAAGTTGGGAAGGGGGCAAGAGCTGAGGCTAAGGGCCATTGCCAGAAAAGGGATGGGCAAAGATCATGCCAAGTGGTCACCTGCAGCCACTGTCACTTTCATGTATGAACCTGATATTCGAATCAATGAGGAGTTGATGGATATGTTGACTATTGATGAGAAGAAGGCTTGGGTTGAAAGTAGTCCTACCAAAGTCTTTGACTTTGATCCTAAAACCGAGAAGGTTGGTTGTTTCTTACGTTTGTACTTCTTGTTAATGGATGTGATAATCTGATTTTGTAAAGGTCATTGCTTTAGATTCTTGCTGTGCTGGTTATCTGAATCCTTATCTTAGTGGTTCAATTATACATCATTTGATTGCCTTCTCAGTTGGTCTTACTAAGCATGAGGACACATTTAATGGAATGTCACTAAGTAATAAAGTATCTTGGTGCTTCTTAAGGGAATAGGAGATGGAAGTTAAATGTACTGCTTCTCCTCAGGAGTGACACTGAATGTGTTTAATTGGTACTTCATCTTATAATACATTTGTTTGTAGCAGTTCTTTTTATCTCGGGAGGGGTCTAGAGTTCACCTTTCCCCAATTTGTATTTATAATTGACTTTTACTCTAGTTATCAACCTTTTTATTAGATAGGTAGAAATCTTGTATTGTGTATTATCTTAATGCTGCTTAACTTCTGGAAATGGGGAAGTTCCCCGATGAAGAGCCAATTGCCAAAAGGTTTTTGTCTTAAGTAGATTGTAGACAGTAGTTATACAATAGCATGAATCATAGGTGGGTAGATGTTTATCACTTCTGGTAAGATTATGCGTCTGAAAGTTCTGTTTGTAGCAAGATGTGGTTTCTAGGAGGGAACACATAGGTCATGATGGTAGGGGTAATTGAGGCACTGTAGAATGCAAGTGATTATTATACTGGCGGTTACAGGGCTTGATTTTGGACCTAGTTTTCAGGTTCTGGTTCATGTCGCTAGATTTTGCAGTCCTTTATTGTATCTTTGGTCATTCCATGATATTTGAATTGCTGCATGTTGATTTATGTGTAATATCTTGAGGCAATTGATCTGAATACCAAATATATTTTTATTGGCTCCGTTAAAGGGAGTTCATAAAAATCCTATTTAAATGAAAGCTATTCATTCAAATTTCATATGACAGCCAAAAAGTCTTTGAGTTGTCCATCTTTCAGATAAATGATGTTGTGTATGTTTGAATTATAGTCACCAATAGTAGAGGGATTCTATTGCAAGTGCTCTTTAACTGGCCAATGCTCCAAGACGATTATTTGGTGTGCATTTTATACACGTATATATCTTTCTAGATAACAGAAAGTTTAGAATTAGTTCAACGACTTATTCTCTAATACGACTAATACATTATTTTTGTGTTCTCAGGGCACACTAGTAGAGTGGTGTCTAAGACTGCAGTGGACATTGTCATTGAGAAGTTGGTTCCACTATTAAGGGTATAAGGGAATTTGTTGAGAGGCATCCATGACGACGTTATAGGTATAAAAGATCTCCTAGAGAGCATGATATTTTTCCTAAAGGATGTAGATGCAAAAGTAGAAAGGGCAACCATGAGCAGTGGTGTCAAAACCTGGGTGAAGCAAACAAAGGAGATGGGCACTCACATGGAAGATGTCATTGATGAATACCTACGTCACGTAGCACGCCATCGTAACAAACGTGGATTTAGTGGTTTCATTCTTAAAACCAATCACTTTGTGAGAGGGCTATTTGCGCGCCACGAGATAGCCTCGGAGATTCAACTTATCAAAAAACGTGTCCTCCAAATCCAACAAACAAGTGAAGCCTATCGCTTCAATTCAACATAGCAAACTTCATTTAGCTCTTCAAGGCGAGATGATATGTTATTTGACCTGCAAATGGCTTTCTTTTACATAGAGGAAGCTGAACTCGTTGGTATTCAAACTTTGAGAGATAAACTAATAGGTTGGTCGATAGGAGGAGAGGTTGAATCTAGGCGCTCTGTTAGTTCATTGGTCGGTATTGGAGGTCTGGGAAAGACCACTCTTGCAAAGAAAGTCTTCGACAACTCAAAGTTCATAGAATGGTTTGATTGGCGCGCTTGGATCATAGTGTCACAATCATACAAGAACGAAGACATACTCAGAAACCCTGTGGAATTTTGCAATCATGTTTCTGAGTATGTCTTTGTTCTTGTATGATTGTGACACTGTGATCCAAGCATGCCAATCAAACCATTCTATAAACTTTGGGTTGTCAAAGACTTTGTTTGCAAGAGTGGTCTTTCCCAGACCTCTCATACCAGCCAATGAACTGACTAAGCATCTAGATTCTACCTTTCCTCCTATTGACCAACTTATCAGTTTATCTCTCAAAGTTTGAATACCAACGAGTTCAGCTTCCTTTGTGGAAAGGGAAGCCATTCGCGGGTCAAATAACATATCATCTCGCCTTGAAGAGCTAAATGAAGTTTGCTTTGTTGAATTGAAGCGATAGTCTTCACTTGTTTGCTGGATTTTGAGGACACGTTTTTTGATAAGTTGAATCTCCGAGACTATCTCGTGGCATGCAAATAGTCTTCTCACAAAGTGATTGGTTTTAAGAATGAAACCAGTAAATCCACGTTTGTTACTACGGCGTGCTACATGACGTAGGTATTCATCAATGACATCTTCTATGTGAGTGCCCCTTGTTTGCTTCACCCAAGTTTTGACATCGTTGCTCATGTTTGCCATTTCTGCTTTTGCATCAGCATCCTTTAGGAAAGATGTCATGTTTTCTAGGAGATCTTTTATATTTGTAACATCATCATGGATGCCTCTCAACAAATTCCCTTCTTCCCTTAACAGTGGAACCAACATGTCAATGACAATGTTCACTGCAGTCTCTACCATCACTTAGCTTATGGGTGGGCATTCAAACCGGAAATCCGAGGCGAACCACACCGGGAAAAACAACCATATTGATTTGGTTACGGTTCTATGTTGCACTCCATAAATTTGACTGGGCAAAATCGAATCGGTCAAATTAAAAAATATATAATTTCAATATTTATTTATATTCAATGCTATATTTTTAATCTCATAACTAATATTTATTCAATTTCAAAACATCTCTCTTTTCTAGCTTTAATATTTATTTTTATATGAAATTGAATAATTTGTTAATTTTCAAGTCAAAAAAATAAAATTTCAGTTGAAATTTGTATTTTAAAAAAAATAATGTTAATAATTTGGTTTAAAATTGAATCAGATAATTGGTTCAACCCGAACCAGATAGTTTGTGAAATTTTTTTATTAAAACCGAACCAAATCGGATAAATAGTACCGGATTCGGTTCTAATTTAAGGCAAAAACTGGTGTTCCAGCGGACAGTCCAAGCCCGGGGGAGGTGTGGGACCCACCAACCCGAGCTGGCCCGAAGGCAACTTCTGCCTGAGGTCCAAAACGAGGGGGGTGACTGTAGCGCTACAGTATCTGCTTCAGTACCGCTATAGTACCTCGCTGATTTGATTTTTTTTTCTTGTTGCCACGTGGAGTCGTATGAGCTCTCCGATCTGATTTTTTCCTCCAATCCAACGGCAGCCAATTTTTTTGCAATAAAATACTGGAAAAAATTCGGAAAATTTTTTTTAAAATACCCAAAAATTAATGAATTTTTTTCTATTTTCTTTTTTTTTTTTTTTATTTTAAATTTGAAATTTGAAAAAAATTTATCCGATTATGAGATATGAATAGTATTGACACGTAGGAACCCGAAAATATTATCCAAATTAATTATTGAGGTAAAAAAAAGTTGTGAATAAAACAAAAAATGAATAGTAACTGCCCTTAGCAAGAGCAACGGGTGGAAACACAAAATTCTGATTTGCAAGGACAACCACTATTCACGTGAATAGTGGCTGCCCTAGCTCCCCCCCTTACCATGGATAAGGGCAAATGGATGGAGTTGCTCTAAGCACCCAATGAATATTTGTGTAAGCCCCCTTCCCCAAGTACTCGAAAAGAAAAACTTCTTTTTCTTTGTGGAGGGAGCTGCCCTACATGAATGCACCAAAACCCAAAAAAAAAAACAAAAAATTCATTATATTTATGTATGTAGAACATAAGTGATTCACAATTCATCTTGAAAAGCAGCTTTTAATTTCAATTGATCTTCCCTATACTTAAAATTGAAAGGGCAAGTGATCTCTATCGCGGGCACAGCAAATAAAACACCATAGGCGCAAGAGCCAAAACCATCTATAGCAAAAATAAATAAATAAAAAATAAAAACAAAAACAAAACAAAAAGCCCAAAACCCTCTCCACAGCCACTCCAAACCCCCCTCTCTCTCTCTCTCAGAGACAGTTAAGCTCTGAGACGGTGCTGTGAGAAACTCGGAGAGACATAGAGAAATGGAAGGCAAATCGTACCAGAGGCTACCGCGGGTCAAAATCCGTGAAATGCGTGACGACTACATGAAGTTCGAGCTCCGCGACACCGACGCCAGCGTCGCCAACGCGCTCCGGCGAGTGATGATCGCCGAGGTCCCCACCGTCGCCATCGACCTCGTCGAGATCGAGATCAACTCGTCCGTGCTTAACGACGAGTTCATAGCCCACAGACTCGGCCTCATCCCATTGACATCCGACCGAGCCATGAGCATGCGCTTCTCACGTGACTGCGACGCCTGCGACGGCGACGGCCAGTGCGAGTTCTGCTCCGTCGAGTTTCATCTTCGCGCCAAGTGCCATTCCGACCAAACCCTAGACGTCACTAGCAAGGACCTTCTCAGCTCTGACCACACCGTCGTCCCCGTCGATTTCTCCGATTCCGCCGGCATGGAATCTTCCGAACAAAAGTACGTACTTTCCCCCTCTCTCTCTCATAGGGTTTTTTAGGATTTCGGTATTGTTCTTGGAATAGATTGTAATGTGTCCTTTTCCCCTAATTTTTGTTTGACGTCGTAATGTGAATTGTTATTTGGGTATGGTTGAATGGTTTTGCTGTTGAAATTGGGTTACTTTACTTTCGGTGTGGTTTTAGAGGGATTATCATTGTGAAGTTGCGAAGGGGGCAAGAGCTGAGGCTAAGGGCCATTGCCAGAAAGGGGATTGGCAAAGATCATGCCAAGTGGTCACCTGCAGCCACTGTCACTTTCATGTACGAACCCGATATTCGAATCAATGAGGAGTTGATGGATATGTTGACTCTTGATGAGAAGAAGGCTTGGGTTGAAAGTAGTCCTACCAAAGTCTTTGACTTTGATCCTAAAACCGAGAAGGTTGGTTGTTTCTTACGTTTGTACTTCTTTTTAATGGATGTGGTAATCTGATTTTGTAAAGGTCATTGCTTTAGATGCTTGCTGTGCTGGTTATCTGAATCCTTATCTTAGTGGTTCAATTATACATCATTTGATTGCTTCTCAGTTGGTCTTACTAAGCATGAGGACACATTTAATGGAATATTGCCAAGTAATCAAGTATCTTGGTGCTTCTTAAGGGAAATAGGAGATGGAAGTTAAATGTACTGCTTCTCCTCAGGAGTGACACTGAATGTGTTTAATTGGTACTTCATCTTATAATACATTTGTTTGTAGCAGTTCTTTTTATCTCGGGAGGGGTCTAGAGTTCACCTTTCCCCAATTTGTATTTATAATTGACTTTTCCTCTAGTTATCAACCTTTTTATTAGATAGGTAGAAATCTTGTATTGTGTATTATCCTAATGCTGCTTAACTTCTGGAAATGGGGAAGTTCCCCGATGAAGAGCCAATTGCCAAAAGGTTTTTGTCTTAAGTAGATTGTAGACAGTAGTTATACAATAGCATGAGTTATAGGTGGATAGATGTTTACCACTTCTGTTAAGATTGTGCATCTGAAAGTTCTGTTTGTAGCAAGATGTGGTTTCTAGGAAGGAACACACAGGTCATGATGGTAGGGGTAATTGAGGCACTGTAGAATGCAAGTGATGATTATACTGGTGGTTACAGGGTTTGATTTTGGACCTAGTTTTCAGGTTCTGGTTCATGACGTTAGATTTTGCAGTCCTTTATTGTATCTTTGGTCATTCCATGATATTTGAATTGCTGCATGTTGATTTATGTGGAATATCTTGAGGCAATTGATCTGAATACCAAATATATTTTTATTGGCTCCATTAAAGGGAGTTCCTAAAATTCCTATTTAAATGAAAGCTATTCATTCAAATTTCATATGACAGCCAAAAAGTCTGAGTTGTCCATCTTTCAGATAAATGATGTTGTGTATGTTTGAATTATAGTCACCAATAGCAGAGGGATTCTATTGCAAGTGCTCTTTAACTGGCCAGAGCTCCAAGACAATTATTTGGTGTGCATTTTATACATATATACATCATCTAGGTAGTGGATTCAGATCCCAGATTTGTTAGCTAATTCATTTGAATCTTGTAATGTCTCTGTTACAGCTTGCTTAGGCTTAAATTGTTCATTTCCATGAGATTGTATCACCATTGGTTCAATTCTGTGTCATAATTCCTGATGGCCTATCTTAATCTTCTTTCTTTTTTTGAACTTTTCCTTTTGAAAGGTCGTGGTGATTGATCCTGAAGCATACACCTATGATGATGAAGTGATCAAGAAAGCAGAAGCTATGGGGAAGCCTGGGCTTGTGGATATCATTGCAAAAGAAGATAGTTTTATTTTCACAGTGGAATCTACTGGTGCGGTCAAAGCTTCTCAGTTGTTACTCAATGCCATCGAAGTCCTGAAACAGAAACTGGATGCAGTGCGCCTTTCTGAGGATACTGTAGAAGCTGATGATCAGTTTGGTGAATTAGGTGCTCATATGCGAGGAGGATGATCCAATTAGGTGCTAAATGGATCTTTCATAGATTTCGATGGGACATGTTTATATGCTGCGCTTGCTGCCTTTACTAATTTCACTCTACTGTGGATGCTAATCTATTATCTGCTATGCATGTCTTTGGATATATGCCAGACCATTCGCATCTGTGTTTGTTGCCTTTACTAATTTCACTCTACTGTGGATGCTAATCTATTATCTGCTATGCATGTCTTTGGATATATGCCAGACCATTCGCATCTGTGTTTGTTGTAGAATCTCCACATATATTATGTGTGAAAACTTGAAGCATGAATTCAAAATTTAAAGAAACTTGGGTGCTGGGATGAAAGATAATACTGGAAATGATTTGACGTTTGGAATTTGGTAGAAATATCTCACCTCCAGATAATAAAATTTTAGAAATGATTTACTGAAAGCATTTTGCATTTTGTGTCTTCAATCCAATGTTTGCCTTTGCAAGACATAATTGGTTGGCATTAAGCATCAAAACAGCGTTTCATAACTTAGGCGTTGTTAGAGAATTAAATTCGTACAAATGGACAAAATAAAGATTAAAAAGGCCCAACAATAAAAGGTGGATTGGAAGTGAGCCGGTACAATTGAAAACAAATACGGAGGCCCAAAAAGCCAAGCAGTCCAACCCATAACCCCCGAAGCCAGCCCTAAAATATCTCTATTTTGTGAGAAAATGCTTCATATTTGTTCTTACCCTACAAGTTGGAAGGGAAGAATTAGAATTGAACTCTTGTCCTGTGAAGCTATAATTATTTTGTAACTCCAACTATAAATCAAACTTTTAAGGCCTAGTATGGAGATGCACTATTGAAGAAGCTCAAGGTTTCAATGGGATCATAGGTTAAAAGCATCTACCTAGATGCACCCGAGATCCTATATTTGATTCTCGTTGCTCTAATGTTATGTATAAAGAAAAAAAAAAAAAAAAAAAAAAAAAAAAAAAAAAAGCTCAAGGACTCTAACCTCAAGCTGTAGGTGCAGAGCAGTAGAGGTAATTGTTAGTAATTCATTGCGATTTCTGTCATTACCTTATTTATGATTCACTGTTTAATTCAGGATATCACGTGTGTGAAGCTTCTTCTTCTTCTTCATTCCCTTTTTTTTCTTTTTCTATTTCTTTTTTCTGTTTTGGGGGGAAAGTGGATGTGGAAGGAAAGAGTTGATGGCACACCAGCTTTTAATAGCGTCCTAGAATCTAATGACAATAGTCACGGGCTCTGTTTTTGTATGAAAAAAATAAAAAGATTAAAAAAAATTGTGGGCCAAATAATTTATATCGTTTTGGATTTGCAGGTATGTATGAGGCCATAAAGGCCTGAGGCTCTTTGCTTTGCCTCAGATAAAATCTAAAAGAATAGTTATTTCATGATGCATATATATATATATATATGCAATAGGCACTCCAGCTATTTCAAGTGTAACCACATGGGGCTCAATGTGGTCCTTTTCACATCTTTCATATAACCTTTTTGTTGTAGGGATAGCTGAATTTGGTAATGCCCATGAACTATTAATGCATCAAGAAAGTTTTGGGGATTTATATTTACATCATGTATATAATTCTATATAGTTTTCTAGTAAATCCTCAAGGAACGAGAGCTCATATATCATGTTGACGATTATTTGACTTTAAAAACTTAATAATCGACCAACAATGTATATCAAGCTAACACTCTCAATTACGCGTTTGCGCATAAAAAGATACCATATGCATTTGAAACATCATGGGCAGCTCTACCCTACAAGAAATGACTAAGACATTATATGTGTGTGGGGATGGGGGTTGACTATTTCACACGTTATGTCATATCTTGCGAAACTTATGATGACAAATTTTAATTCAAATTGTGTACTTAGGCAATAATTCACGCGATCAATAGTTTAATTTGATAGTTTGAAAACGTGTAATGTATATATAAAAAAAATAAAATAAAGAAAGAAAATAAAATAAATAAATAAATAAATAAAAAAAAAAAAAAAAAAAAAAAAAAAAAAAAAAAAAAAAAAAAAAAAAAAAATTTAATATCTTATATAATAAGTTGGGAGTAAAATTATTGAAGGATATCAGCAAAATAGCTGTCAATTTATTCTATGTGGACCCTAAAAATGTAAATACATTAGACCAGTGGGCCTTGTATTGGATAGGGCATTTCAAGTTGTCACCTAACACCTTTTACTACTAGACCCAGTAGCCCTCATAGAATTTGTAGAGTCCAAGACCCTTTGAAAACATTTGTTGATAGGGGTTATGGTAATTGTAGCCCTGTGAAAAGATACCCAAATCTTTGTCTGAGAAACCAGACATGCTTGCAGGTTGGCAGCCAAGTTTCACAGTTCTGGGACATGCCATGGCTGGGCCCTCAAAACCTCTCAAACTTCTCTTGTCCTTTTCTTCTGACTTTGTAAAGGGACTCTAGAGCCCCAAAAGGTCACCTATCTGGTTTTGTATTTAATTTCACCTCCTACTAGTATTTACTCTCTAATCTATTAACCCATCCTTTTAGCTTTTTACAAATAGACTTATTTTAATATCACATTTTATACAAAAATCTTCAAAAGAACCAATTGGAAAATAACAAGTGACCAGTTAAAAGTTTTTCTCTCAACATACTCTTTAAGAATTTTTGTTTAAAATGTCATGTTAGAATGGGTTTATTTATAAAAAGCCTCCCTTTTTGTTTTTTTACCACTTGTTTACCGTAACATTCTCCTTAGATAGCCTATTTTTAAGTGGTTATTTTGATGTTGATACCAACTCATGTCCAATGTCTTTGTCTAGGAATATGCAATGTTGTTAGGTTTTTGTGTACATATGTGGTTACATGGAAATGTACTGCTCAAATTTCATAGGTAAATGCATGTGTAGGATGAAAAATGGACCAAAACTTGTTCTTGTTACACAACTTGTTTCATCCATGATTTAGTAATGATGTAAAAATGTAAAACCATTTTCACTCATTTGTGGTAAATAAACCCCTATTTAGTATTTGCAGCTCCATCGACCACCCGAAACGTTACACGTGTCCTAGCATAAATTCTATAGGTATAATTTGAGTGACACATGTAGGGTAGCCATTTTGGGGTCATTGAAGGAGAATGGTCCTACATGAAGATTTTGGTGTGTAAAGTTTCATCAACTTCCACTACTTACTGAATCTTGAGGACATGACTCATTAAATGGAAAACAACCCAAGTGGTCATGGAGCTGAGTTCAATTAGTATGTCTGTTGAGCTAGCTTCCTCATAAATCAAGCCCCTTTTTCAATGAATTCACTTGGTAGAGCCTACAATCTGTTGAGTCCAACATAAAAGCAAGATCATGTTTTCACATTTTAATGAACATGATTGTACAAGGTCAACAACATGAACATTTTTTTATATTTCTTTTTTCTTGTTTTATGGAACCACACTTGAGCTAGATTGGTTTTTGGTTTTGGCATTATTTGATGATATTTTTTGATGGTGACCCTTTTCAATTATGTAAGTGAAGCCAAGGACTCATCGGATGCCGATTTTTCCAGTGTCAATATATTAACTGTTTAACAGAAGAGATATGAAGGGCATTGGCACAATAATTCGGGTCACGCATTGGATGTGCAATGCAGGCTGATGAGGTTGCTGCTACTCGACAGTGGTTTTTGGGGCCTTCTCCTTCTGATTCTCTGTGGGGGGGCCATTGGAAATGCTGCATCAGCTTTCTGAATTTCCTTTGGCATATGTGTGGATATGGAACACTTCTTCATCTTATCTTGTGAGTTTGTGAGACAAATTATGTAACAGCAATACCTAGTAATCTTTGTGGTTGTGTGTGATTGCAGGATTTTCCATGGATGATTTGGCATGTTTTACTGCATCCAGAAATGCTTTGGCAAAAGCTCTAAGAAAGAAAAGGATAATTGTTGTCAAGTTAATATAGATAAACATTTTATTACCCCAAGATTAGTTCCTAATATGAAGTCTTATTTTAAACCCGAAAGAAAAGAGAGAAAATGCAGGCATTAAAATATGGTTCTCCAATGTCAAAGTTCATACTTGATGGAGATATTATTGAAAGTTGAGAGAGACCATACTTTCTTTTTATTTTCTTTGGGTCAAAAGAGATCATTAATTATGTAGAGCTGAAGATGGCAGTGGCTATAAAAAGTATCACTTGCATGTTTCAATGACAGCCTATGGAAGTTGTTTCCATGTTCTACAAAGAACAAAGGCGCCCTCTGGCTGGGACATGAGATGAGACTGAGAGAAGAGCCATAGATGTGTGTCATGCATGTGTGTGTGAGAGAGAAAGACAGAGGCCCACATTTCTGAATGGTCCTCTCCTTTGTTGTCCTTTGAAACTTTACAGCTGTGAGCAGAGAAAAGAGAAGAAAGAAAGAAGAAGAAAAATTTACTCAAAGCCAAAGGGTTTTGAGTTTGTGGTTCCAATTTGAATTCATGTGATTTTGTTTAATGAAAACAGAAATTAATAATGCAGAAGAGAAGAGAGACTAGGTCAAAAGAAGAAAGTTTTTAAGATCACCAAGCTATAAGCCTCAATCCAAGCCATCATATTATTCTACAATTATTGGGGTAGGGACAAACACTGACCTCATCATCTTCACTACTCCTTGGGAGCAAGCTGTTTCCCTTCCAAAAAACATCTCTCTCTCTCTCTCTCTCTCTCTCTCTCTCTCTCTTGAATCATGATCACTAGCATGCATCTAATGCCATCTACACATTCTACCAACCTTAAAGTAGAGACCCCCAACAAAAAAAACAACAACAAAAAAAAACAAAAAAAAACAAACCAAAGACAATCTCCCACAAAATCAAAGATTTTGTCTCCCAAATTCAAAATCAACCCACCTTTTGTCTTTTTGCCTTTTATAAGTTGCGTGAGTGCTAGCTCCATCAAAATTACTTACCCAAAACCATAAACCAGTTTAATCTCTCTCCCTCTAAACACCAAAAATATCTCTCTCACTCTCTCTCTCTCTCCCTCCCTCTTGCTTTTCTATTTGTAGTGGAAAGACTTATCTTTTTCTTTGGTAGATTATGGAAAACATAATGCATAATGTTCATTATTCAAGATAGTGATAGCCATTATTCAAAATACAAGTTTTGACAATGTTTTTTGTTTTCTTTTCATCCACAGCTATTGCCCTAATTTGAAATGCTAAATTTTGTGCAAACCCTAGGAACAAAACAACACATTTGCTTTAATATGCATCATATACTAGAAAATCATTTCTTCAATGTGCTTGCATGCACTACTTAGACTCATCGATCTTATAAAAATAAAATATTGCTACCATATAACATGTGACAAAAGCAAAATGAACTTTTCTTTTTCCTTTTTGTTTTTGTTACTACCAGGGAAAAAAATTTGAAAATAAAACAAAAAGCAACGAGAATAAACAAAAGGGTGAGGCATGCACTATTAAGAATCCACTAAAACTGAAGCATCATGAATCTCCACGCAAAGGGAGATGGTCAAGGGAATGTACACTTTATATGGTAATGGGTATCACAAAACTTTCACGTTACTTTAGCTTGAAAAGATTATGGGGCTAACGTTATATCTAAGTTGGGCTAATCCTTTTTTTAAGTACTACATAAGGGAAAGATTGGATTAAATTAGAGCTAGCTATAGGATGCATATCCAACATGCCTGAAAGCTGGGATATTATAAAGGGTCGTAGGCATTATAAATTGAGTAATCAAGGCAACTAGCTATGTAGGGCTTACTCAGCAGAAACATAAAGGACAGAATAGCTATAAAAAAATACGTACTATTAATAAAAGTTATGTTATGGTCAATCGCTCATGCATGTTTGGACGACTTTTTATCGTTGATTTATGTGAAACTCGCACATTTTAACCACTAATGTTTACATTGCACCACCGATCTTTTTAATGTGGTGCGACAATCCCTCCACTTAGTTTGATTTGTAGTAGTTATATCCAACTCTGATCTAATTATTCACATTGTGAAGCAGAAAAAGAACTTTATCCAACAATTTTTCATGCCCTTCTATTGAAATTCTTGTTGCCTCATCGTAATTAGGGAGAAAAAGTATGAAGAAGGATTTGACAATGCAAAAAAGAGAACAAACTATTGGAGGTTAGGGGATAAGCATGTAGTGTTTTCTAAAGATTCTTCAATGGTAAAGCCAAAGTAGTACTCTTGCTTCAAAAATACAAAAAGACAAAACAATTTCTGTCACCATTTAACTATCTTGTCTTCAAGTTTGAAAATTTTACAATTCTGACTCTTTAGGTCATCTTTAGATTGAAGAAATACTTTCAGTTTTCTCAACCATAATGACTCCCTACTCAACTATTTTGACAATTTGCTTTCATTTGATACAAGTACGTGGGTCCAAAAATGTTCTGAAAATAGTCAAAATTGCAAACTAAACTAGTTAAGTATGTGGTGCATTTTTTGTTCTTACATGTTTGTAAAGAGAAAGAAAATCTTTAATTTGGGTATTTTTCTATATGGCTCAGGAGTTGGGGACAACCATATAAAACAAACCCTAGGCAAGATTAATGGGGCAATGTAGATGCAAATCCCAGAGAGAGAGAGAGAGAGAGAGAGAGAGAGGGAGAGAGTTTTCATAACATCTTTTCTATAAAACGCACATGCACACACCTAAGCAAGAACACACACAGAAGCATCAGTTTCACAGTTTTACTGCAGGAGCCAGTAGGATTTGAATATAATGACTGCTTTGACCTGTAAAATATTTTTATTTTAATAATTTTAGACACTAATGGTACGACACTGATGTCATTCTGTTTCTGTATGGACATTTCATTTTCACTCTCATCTCTTTTAGATTAACAAAAGCTTTTACCTCACAACATTTTCAAACATTCACCAACTAAAATGACCAAGATTCCAATTAAAAACACCCAGCAAAGAGAAACGCTTTGTTTTTTTTCTTTTCACTGAGTGACCTGTAAAATCCCCACCCTTGTTGGAAGTTGGAATTCACACATCAAAGACTTATTATCTAACCCATATATACTTACAATCATTGACCTAAAGCTTAGGCCTAATTAGCCCTCTTTATTTATTTATTCATTTTTCAGCCCTCGTAAATTTTGTACTTTTATTTATTATAGAGACTCCAAATTAGTCATCATGTAATCTGTAACAAAAGCGCATGACTGCTATTTCGAAGCGATAACATAAATTCCCTAGTTATACTAAGACACTAGTAAGAGTGCAAAATAACTAAAGGGGAGTGTGAATCACATCTTCCTACATAAATACTCTCTTCTTTTTTTTCTTTTAGAATTTAGAAAGCTAATCTTCATTTCATTATCAATTGACCATAAAAACCCTTTTCCCTAATTGATGAACAAAACAAAGACTTACCAAATACAATGGTTCATTATTGACCACTTCAAATGACAGTCTTGCAACTGAGCACACTCTCTCCATAGGCACGTAAAGGAAAGGACAGCTGCATTGCATGACCAATCCAACACAACACTTGAAGCCAAAAAGTGAAGAAGATCTAAAAAAAGAGCATTATATGGTGTGTTTTTTTTTAAGTGTAGGCCACTAGGTGCGGGGTTAGGTTCATACAGAGAAGATTACGGTTACCTCAATCTTACACCATCACAAATTTTATTTTATTTTTGGTCACAAAGAAAAGAAAGTGGCTCTTCCAACAAGGTCAAACTCCGTAATCAAAAAGTCTAACTTCCACCAAATCCACTACCCGACAGTCTCTTCCTCTCTTCACATGCAAATCAATCTCCCCTCAAACAAATTTTCAAAAAAAAAACCCCCACTTAACTTAATCTAATTTCTAGATTTAATCTTAATTATGAAGTTGAAAATTGCAATTTATATCATAAACGAAAGGAAAATACTATGAGCTTCTACATTCCTATCAATAGCAATAGCAGTTTGACATGTGTGCATAAGTTTTTCTGTGTTTTAACGAATTATTTTTACATAAGCATTAAACTGCGATTCACATCTCCTTACACGAAAAGTGACAAAGAACATCCTAAACAAAATATAATCCATTTTCAATGACCAGATACTAAATAGAAATTTAGATGCCTGACACATCTGACATACCAAATTGAACAGATAATAAAGGGATCGAGCTAATGGGAAGTGAACAGATAATATTTGAACACAAATGAACAAAATTGGTGTTTAAATTTATTTATTAATATAATATGTCCAAATGGGCCGAAGAGAGACTTATAGAGATATATGGAAATATATAAGAGTGCTCCATATTTCAAAATATACAGAGAAGCAGACTTCAATGTAAAGAGTAATTCTTAACTTCCCAATCTTGTCCCTCCTCTTTGCTGTGAATTGCCAAATTGCCATCAATAATAATCCCCACAAAAACTCCATCATCTCCAAGTCTCCAGGACATGACTGTAGGATTGTGGGCATTGTTTTGAAAATTAAGGCACAGAAACTATATGCATGTATGGCAGCAGAGCAGCAGCAGCAGCACAGCACTTTAGATTTTGCACCAAAAGAGAAATTACCATAACAGACATGGAGTTTTTGAACTTCAATTTTTTTTTGTGTTTTTCTTGAGAGAGGAAGATAAATTGATGATGGTTTTATTAAGGAGGGCTACCCACAATTCCCACAAAGAGCCTGTTGAGTGAAGCCATTTTCATCTGTTGGTCCTTCTCTGCTGCTCTGCTCCTCTTGAGGAGTGGCTCCGGGGATGAAGAAATTGATGAGCCCACTGCCCAAGAATCATTTGAGCTTTCATCATAGCTGAAATATGCATCAATTACCCCACTTGGGCTGCCTGGGATTTGTTCATGCTTGCGCTTGTGGGGATTGTTGTAGCCACAATCATAGGCCTTGGACAGCTCCAGGATGAGACTGTAACAATCATTCACCTTTTCCTGTTTCACAATGCAGCACTTAATTAAGAAATAATTAATCAACATTAATTAAGTAAATCATATATCTAATAATGTGCCTTAACTGATGTTCTGTTTGAAGCATGAAAACTGATGAAGAACATCATGATTCACTTGAATGAAACAAAAGCATTAAAGTACAAACCTTGCTTATTTTGAGAACACCCAGAAGCTGGTTTTGATATTCCATGGCATTACAAGGCTCAACATGGTCTATAACGCGCATCATTGTTGCAGTGGCCAACACAGAAGGCAAATAACCGATGAATCTTGAATCTGAGAGAAACCCATGAAGAAAAAGCAAACAAAATGATGAGAAATCATAAGGGTGAAGCTCTGTTCTTTGTTCTTATCGAAAAAAAAAATCTAAGCTTTGGTTCAAATATCAATGTGATTAGTGTAACCGTTAAAGATTTTGCTTACCAACGACCACAGAGAGAAGAAGACGCTCACAGCGCTTGAGAAACTCCCAGTGGAGAAGGGTTTTCAATCCAAGCCTCCTTATGATGTGGTCGAGGAATGAAAGTGGGGTCACTGGATGCATCTTCCATTGGAGAGTTGAGAGCACCAAAAGCTCCATTCTTTGAATCGTTTTGGCCTCAAACACATACTTTGTGTCCACCACCTGAAACAGAACAAAACCCAAATGTCAGACTTTGGAATTTAATCAGCAAAAACGAAAATAAAGGTCAATACTTTGAATTCAAAATGTCTAAACGTACTTGAAGGTCCAGAAGAAGAGGCACTTGGGTTTCTTCCACTTTGGCTGCCAAGGAGAGACAGGTGACAGCCACAAGCTGCACCATCCATGGCTTGTCCCTCTGAAAACGGAGGCTGGAGATGAACCTATCAAAGTAGTTAATGGCTAGGATTGCAGTGAGAGCAGTGAACCCATAATGGGCATTGACTTTGAGCATCCACAAGACAGCTTCACGACGAGCCACAGAGATCAAAGAGTGCTCTGCTGCTTCGTTTCCCATGTCCTCCAAGTGTTTGATGAAATGGGTCTGCTGCTGCTCTTCTTTAGAGAAGAGAGAGACAAGCTCTTCATCTTCCCAGAACAGATCTTGTTCCAACAAGAGCAGGGGAAACAGAGAAGGGCAGGCTGGGTTGTGCCCATTAATGTCATTTTTGTAGTTCTCACTGGTCACTTCCTCTAAAGAATCTTGCACTACTTCCCCTTCATCCTCCTCCCATTTCTCCTCTTCACACAACAAAGCATCCAACAAAAGTGAACGGCTTTGTTGTTGCTGTTGTTCTTGGTGGTTTTGTTCATTTTGTTTCATTGCCATCTTCTTCTAAGAAGAAGAGGTTTTAGTCCTCTGCTCATTATACAAAAGAAAAGCTGAGTCTCACACCCATATCTCTGTATTTTTGCTTTGGGTTGTGGTGTGGAGAATAGAGTATAGCTAGAGAAAGAGAGAGAGAGAAAGAGGGGGGAAGAGGGTGACAGGGAAAGAAGAAAAAGAGGGGGTAGGGAGATTGATTTTAGAGCAGAGTGGGTTTCACGCTTGTCCTTTTTTATATATATATTGGGTTTTGGAATTTCTTTTCTTTTCTTTTCTTTTCTTTCTTTTCTTTCATTCTTTTCTTTTGTGCTTTCGGTGTGTTTCGTTGGCGGGCAGAAATGTAACGGCACACACACCAAGCCGGACCCATTGAAAACAACCTCTTACAGAAGCCTAAATAAAGAGTCACTGTGCTCATTGCTCAAGAAGACTCAAAAGAGAGAGAAAGAGAAACAAAGCCTATAGACTCTATTGGTAGCAGTAGAAAGAAACAAGTAGTAGGGGTTATAGACTTTTGGGTTTATGCTTCCAAGCATTTATGTGTCTAGGACTCTTCATTGATTTTGGAGGGTTTTAGAAACACCCAACAATTTATAATGCATTCATTACCCAGCAAATGATATTATGATAATGCATATATCCGTATGTAATATTAAAGTCTTGGAGGATTTTCGAAACACCCAACAATTTATAATGCATTCATTACCCAATAAATGATATTATAGTAATTTATATATCCGTATGTAATATTGAAGTCGTTAGTTAAGTTGGTTAAAATGAATGTGTTGTTTATTTTGCATCCGAGTTCAAATTTTCATCTCTATAGTTAGATTAAATTAAAGTAAAATATCGATTGTAATAAAAATATATATATTAAAGTCATGTTAGGAACAATTATTAATTAGAAAGGCAGCGGAAGAAAGTATAGGCAAATTAACAAGTCTTTGCTTTGGGTTAGTGTTTGACATAACAAACAAACAGTCTTTAACAAATCTCCCACTTCTTTGTGAGTGAGTTGTGTTTTTTCTTTCTTTTTTTTGCCCTTTTTGAGTTGAATAAATCCCACTTCTAATCTAGAGTTTGATATGATTTGTTGATACATTCATGTCGATCTTGCTTTGTTGACAAAATGAGAACCTGCTTTGCATCTTTATTTGCCTCATTGCAAACAATAATTCTTCTCATAATCAAATTTGTAATATATTTTAATTTTTCAAGGGTGATATGGTCATAATGTGATATGTTTAACATATGGTTTAATTCCACTATGGCAAGTTCAAACATAATGTGATAATCATACAAGGAAGTTTTCTTTTACTACACTGTCTATCAACACGAGAGAGTTACGTTGCATGACTGTGAATCTAGAACATTTATCGCATTGATTCTTGTCTAAATATGTCGTTCACTCTCATAATTCTACATATCAAAATTTACTTATATTTCTTGGTTTTCTTGTTTCTGGAGTGAAGAGAAAAACTCTCACCATGCACCCATAAATTTACAGCTTAATTCGTACTTACCTTTTACTACAAGTCATGATTCATGTATAGGGACCTTCACATTCCTTGTTGTAAAAGTAAAAAACAAAAAGAAAGAAATGTGTTTAAAAAAAAGCTGGGGATGGAGTTGAAGCAGATCTGCCATTGACAAAGCCCTTGGCCAGCCCAGTCCACGAAGTCGACTAGAGAACAAAACAAAACAAGATTTACAAGACGATGGATCGACTTAACATAACATGGCATACACCACGCGACATACAAGCAAATGTCCGAACATGCCTTTGCTTTTGAAACGATCAGAGAGAGACTGGTTTTACCGGACAAAGAAAAACAGAGAGAGGGGCGCGTCTTGAACAAGCCCAAGGAGCGAGAGAGTGGGTGGAATGGAAAGGGTGAGGCTGACCTGCTCGCTCTCTCTCTCTCTCTCTCTATGGCTCTTTGTGTCTCATTAGAAAGTCATAAATAATGCTGTCTTGTCTGTGCGAGCCAGTTTTACTACACGCAGACTCAAGAGAGAAATAGAGAGAGAGAGAGAGAGAGAGAGAGTCGTACGCTTTTTCCTTTGACGTGCTCTCATAAGCCTATAAGTGAAGTGCCCACTGCCCACCACCACTCTGCTACTCATCTTTAGGCGCAACGCCCCACTTTCACTTTTAAATTTTTATTTTTTACCCTCTTCTTTTCTTCTTTTCAAAAACTTTTTATTCAATTACATAAATATTTCTTACCATAGTGTTTTTATGACTTATTACTATGGTAAGTTTTGTTTTGGTGTGTGGATGGATGTATGTGAGCTCATACACGACTGATAATAGCACTCTTCAAATTTAACAATGGATGGCACAAAGTAGTGTTTAAGCCAAGAATGATTTACATAATATAGTAAGCACTACTAAATCGTTTAGAGCATTTCCACCCCATTTTTTATGACAAAAGGCAAGGGTTATTACTATTCATATGAAAAGTGCATGCCGTAGCAATCTTGTTATTTCTTTTCTATCTATTGTCATGGCAAATGGCAATTGCTATTCACAACAAATTAATTTTATTTTTTATACTTATAAGATTAATTTTAATAAGATTTTTGGTTGTCACATGTCAATATTTATTATAAAATTCACTTTTCATATTTTGGATAAAATATTCAAATAAGATTTTCGGTTGTCACGTGTCTATATTTATTATAAAATTCACATCTCATATTTCGGATAAGATTTCGGTTGCTACTATTGCGCCACGTGTCTACATCTTCTAAATCCTATTATAAAACCACACCATCAACTCACATCAATCATCCATATCCTCTCTATCCTTTTTTTCTCAGATTTTACAAAACACATTCTACTTTCAATTTCTTACACAAGGAGGTTGTTGGAGAGGGTTGAGCGAGAAAATGTAGAAAGAATAAGTAAACGTGTTGAAGAAGAAAGGGAGTGGGAAACAGATGATGATCAAGTTGTTTTAGCAGTAGGTATGCTCGATCAATTAAGCCAACACCATTATGGTTCACAATCTAGTCGTGGCCCGAATGTGGACAGACGTAGGCACTCTCTAGATAAGAATCTCTTGGAAGATTGCTTTATCACAAATTCGTTGTACTCTAGTGTTGATTTTCGAGGGCAATATAGAATGCACCCTCATTTGTTCAATAAAATCATGCATGATGTTTTCAATTACGATGCATACTTCGTTCAAAAGTATGATGCTCTTAGGGTTCTCAGTTTTCTTCCAGAGCAAAAACTTACAACTTCTTTACAGCTACTAGCGTATGGCACATTTGCAAACCAGGTGGATGAGATTGCTGGGATGGGGAAATCCATTATCCTAAAATTCTTGTTCAGATTCTGTGATGCAATTGAAACTATCTATAAGAGGGATTACCTCCGCAAACTTACGCCTAGGGACCTCCAAAGGCTTCTACAAAAAATCGAGACTCGAAGTTTCCCAAGCATGATTGGAAGCATTGATTGCATGCACTGGCAGTGGAAGAATTGTCCAACTGCATGACAAATAGATTATAGGAATAAGAAGGGCAAAAAAAGTATCATTCGATACCTGGGTTTGGCATTCCTTTTTCGGTGTTGTGGGATCTCAAAACGACCTTAACATGCTCGGTCAATTCTTGGTTCAATGATGTGTTGACATGACATTCCCCTCATATCACTTATCAAATCAACAATACTATTTACTCGGATAGGTACTACCTAGCAGATAGAATTTACCATAGGTGGATGACATGCGTCAAAACAATTTCGCATCCTCAATCGGAGAAGGAAAAATACTTTGTTGTCTATCAAGAGGGTTATATGAAAAATGTGGAAATGTGTTTTGGTATCTTCTAAGGTCATTGGCCAATCATTAAAAGGTTGCTTGTATGTTTGATGAAAATGTGTTGCGGAGCATTATGATGACTTGCATCATCCACCATAACATGATTTTGGAGGATGATTATGATGAACCAGAGCTATTTGAACCCGATCCCATAAACATGATATTTACAAGAATTTATGAACGAGTCGTGAGAGCAAATGGACAACCCCTGGAGCACGAACGATTGATTAGGGACGATTGTTACAACAACCGTATGATTGACCGTTATACGGGAATGCAATCTTCTTATGTTCACGAAAGATGTCAAGTTGACTTGATCGAGCACTTATGGGTGCTGAGAGACAATAACGGTCAATAAAGTCAAGTTTAATGCTTAGTTTTGAATTGTGCTTAGTTTTATTTGTGGTTTGTTTTGAATTATGCTTTGTTTTGATTTATGCAATGTTTTAAATAAATGGCTATATTATTGAATACTTTCTTTATTCAATAAAAAACAATCAATACAACTAATTAAGAAAAGGCAACTCTATCAATACAACTTAATGGTTTTCGTTATTTAACCAAACCGTGTTGTTAGGTCCATCATCTAGGAAAAGCCTTCTTCTCATAACGTTCCTTCGTTCTTGCTTCCAAAACACCTTTGTTTCAGGGGACATATGGCTCATATCCATGGCTACGGTTTCCTAATTTTCTTGTCCATGTCTTGTTTGTGTCCATGTCTTTTTTACTGTTGGTGTGCGTGACGTGCACAATCCCTGCTCGTACGTCATGCGTTAAAGGTAAAAAAATTAATTTTGTGCTCTGATGCCAGCCTAACGTCAACGCTAAGATCAGAGCTCGCGGTTAGGAGCTTAGGCTCATCTTGCCTTGGGCCTTGCCCGGGTTGGTAGAGCTCACCTCTTGTCATGGCAATAATTGGGCGCTGAAAATGGATTTTGAAGCCTAAAGAGTCTTTTGCCTGGGCTAAGCAATTGGGGTGAAAATGCTCTTATGCACCATATAAGTTCAGAGCTTTGAACACAAAATGAGCTAAAATGTATATTTGTAAGGATAGGTTATGACAACAATACATAGACGTTATCAATATTTTACAAATAATACATATGTAAAAGAGCAAAATAAATCAATAGGTGGGACTGCCTAGGTCAGAGTGGGGCACATGCCCCCTCTGGGTCCCAAGATAAATCCATTATTAACATAAGGGTTAAAAAAAGAGGGTACAAAATTAAGTGTGATACAAGCCATAATCTCATGTGTATTAGGTTTGAATTTTGGAAACATTTAAATTTTCTTGTTATTTGTGGTTACGAGTATATGAGCTTTACTTTCAGGCCTTACGTCAAATCTAAAAATTAAAGTTGGTTGTGCAAACGACATGTAGATGTAGCTGATTTTTTTTTTTTTTTTTTTTTTTTTTTTTTTTTATTAGTCAATCATAGTAGGTTAAGAACGTTAAATCATGCATATTTTTTGCTCCGATTGTATTTATAAAAAAAAGAAAAAGGAAGAATTGGAGTTGGTTTGTAACAAATTTTTATTTTATTTTATAGCATGGGTGGAATCAAGAATCCACATACTCTAACTAAAATTCACCATGTTATATTACAAGAGAAAATTTTCCACTTTATTGTATTTTAGTTTGGAATAATTCATCAAATTCTTTTCACCCCTCTAAATAATCTAAAATTATATTTCTTTTTAACGGGGGAATAACAAAAGAAATATGTGGCCCAGAAATATTCACCATGTCTGTTAGTTTGCAAAGGCTGCAGAGCTATAAGAGCAGTTTCTTTTCAAGAGATGCCAACCACTCTCTCTAAATGTCACAGCGAAGTCAAGAAGAAAAGGCAGAAGTGTTCAGCATCATTAGATGGCACCAAATTCGATTGTGCAGAGAAATTTTCATGCGTAGTAGTTATTGGGACCATCAGACTAATTACCACAATTCTGCTTTGTTTTTTCGTGTAAGAATTTAGCCTAATTATTGATCAATATAACTAAGCATGCAAAGTCATCAAGCTAATAATATACCAGGAACATGGTGAATTTGAGTTAGTTGGGCTTACTAGCTCCATGATTATAATTTATAGTTATTACTGTCCTAATCATGCTTATTAGTAACTACTTTTCATGGTTTTAGTAACCAGCTCAATGTGTCCTTTACTTTTATGGTTTTCATGTTTTACTTGCGAAGTCACTTTCCAGGAACTACAAAACAATGAAAGTTATGTTCATCATGTCTAAGAGAACCTAATTTTGTAACTGATGCTCAAGCAGCCCATGGTTATGAGGTTAAATCCGGCCGTATTTGGGGTCCCTTCATCCGGATCCAACTCGAGTTAAATATCAACTTAAAATGCTTGGACTTATTCATATACAATAATGTTACATGTATCATATTTATTGACATTATCGATCACGCCTCACAGAATTATAACAATCGCGTCTCTCTCGCATAATATAACTTAGGATTTTAGGAGAAAAAAGTCTACGCATGAATCATTACAATATAAAATCACACATTACAAGCTGTGCCACCAACAATGTGAAGTTCCCCATGAAACTTGAGAGTTGGCTAGGTAAAAATCAATGTGGTGGTTATTGTGGCAACCAAGAATTGGTATCTTGTGACTGCAGCACAGTAATTCTACTGTCCTCAATTCCTGTGGCAATAATAATATATCATCGGCTTATAATGACATATTAACCACAAACGTACAGAAAAACACCCAAATCACCAAATTAATTAATGAAGCTGGTTTTTTTTTGTTCTTCTTCAATTCTTTGTCCATGGTCATCACACAGCCCCACCTTTAACCTTTTTTTGTTCAAGATCCAGACTGGTTCAACCAGAAGACAGGCCAGATTGACTTTTACTCGAATGACAAATGAATTTCTTCCACTTATATTATATGTGCAAAGGGGACCCTTTCCACTGAATCTTGAGGTGTCCATGAGTGGACAAACAATATAATCATCTGTGAACCCATCTGCTACATATATAGACAGATATTGCCAATTTGATTGGCTACATGCTGAACATGGTAAATTGATAAGTTTATTATGCTCGATGAGTTACTAGGTTTCGGGTTCATCTAAGTAAATAAATCAATAAGCAGAGTCTGACGGGAAATTTTTGTGCCTGACTCTAATTCTGTCGCACGTGTTATAAAATGAGTGGATTCCGTATTTATATTTCAGGGTATAATATCAATAAATATATACATATTGATTATAATATGAATGAATTTGTAACACCATGTGATGATGTTATAATATGGTAAAACGTCTCCCGAATCTAACCACCAATTAAAGAAATCTTGGTTTATAATAGAAAACAAATATCATCTTCTCCTAAGTACTTAATCAACAATAAGTCAATGACAGAATTAACAAAAGGTGCAAAACTTTCAAAGCTCTTCTAACTACCCAACTTTTTGTAGACTAGAATTATGTTGGATTGTCTTCTGCTAAGTAAGTGGATATGCTTTAATTTGAGGTTCAAACAGGAAGCACTTGAGAGTGAGTATCATGTCATCCACTGAACACAAAACTTTTCAAATTCCCAAATGATAGCTCATAAGGCCTTGACCAAAACCAAAGAACCCCTTCTCTCTCAATTCATCACAACCTAGATGAAGTGACTCCTTTGACCCATAATCCAGAATTAGGCTCAACCACCATATTGAAAAAGGTTCTCTATCTGATGAGAGAGAGAGAGAGAGAGAGAGAGAGAGAGAGAGAGAGAGAGAGAGAGAGAGAGAGAGAGAAGAAAGGTGAAAGGGAGAGGCATTTGCTTCATGCATGCATGGCTCCCACCTTATTTGGTCGATCTGAAGAGAAACATATTAATGAAGCCAAGTACTTGACAGGTTGTAGCAATCCTTCCAACCCATGTTTTCCAGATATTCATCATCATCTTCATAATGGGCAACTTTTTAAAACTATCGGTTTACTTTTGAAAACATTAACTCCAGTGTGAGAAATCTATCATCAGTGCATGGAGAAGCAGAATTTATGGTCACCCTGAAGGTAAAATACGCAAAACAGATCATAAATTTGATTATTGTTGCTGTTCAAATCGTAAAACCTCCTAAGTGAGAATGATTAATTTATAACTAAAAGCATCCGTTGTGCCATGTAACAAAGTAGGGAGGATCAGCTCGATGCTTGCTATTGCAGGTAAAATTCTTGTATGACTGGCATTGTTTAAAAACTAGAGCTTTAGTTAGGGAGTTGCTTTGTTTGCTTTATTTGCTTTATTTCTAGATTCAACTCACTTTCATCATGTGCATCTATTGTATGCAAGAATTTTTTTGATACAAGTGATATTGGGGAGGGAAGAATCGAGCCTAGGATTTTGAGTGTAGGTTAGGATCTCGAGTGTAGTTTAAATGCTGTTAACCACTTGAACTACAAGCCCCTTTGTATTGTATGTAAGACTTTTAATTTTGGACAAAACCCTCTAGAGACCCAATAAGATCACTGAATTGCATAGCATTAATCATTATAAAAGATAAAAATTAAATAATAGCATTAGGCTTTGCCAGCCATGTAATAAATAAAAAATTTAGACAATGCATGCTTGTATCTCTTAACACGTCAAAGAAAGCTATGAGCATAAATATGATTTCTGTTCCATTCCCAGTCATGGAAGAAGAGATTTTGTCTAGCTAAAGAAATTATTTCATAATTTATTCAGAATACAGGGCAAGCGATGATCATGTGTGCACCATCCTCTACAGAGCTGCTTTTTCTGTAACATACAACCGAAAACTCCATTAAAACTCAGAACCCTACTTCTGATCACGACATGCTTTAACCTAACGATAGAAGGGAGAGGATACAACATAAGATATGGCGTTCCCGCAAACTTCTTGAAAAAATATCGCAATTCTTATAGCATGTTCGAAATGAGCCGAAACTAACGCATCTTGTTTGCAGTTCAGATGAAAATTCGGATTTACATTTCATTTTTATTGCTTCATAGTTTTCAAACAAGTTCAAAGCTTGATAGATTGAAAACCCCTATCATGTTAATAGTGAAGCCTGCTAGATTGATTAGTTCTGAGAACTATCCCTTGGTTGCATGTCTTCACCACAAACATAAAAGTAACACATTTATCTGCCTTTAGGAATTAAGTAAAAACGCAAAGGGTAACCAAATGAATCATCTATGTAACAAAATTCTTCAAAACCTCTGTATATACGGTTTATCAACAGGGGGAAAAAGAAAGTGCACATATTTGCAATTTGAAAAATAAAAGTGCACGGGGTAACACAAGCACAGCCGCCAAACTAAGAGGAAAAGTCTATACATGACTATCACAGCATCTTATCAATTGCTTCTTCACTTGGGCCTGGAGGAGCTCTATCTCAGTACGGTGGTGGCGGAGGAGGATAAAGTCCAGGAAAAGGACCTAATTGAAAAGCAGAAAACAGAGACTCAGTATTTGATGACTCATATTGGCAGCAAGAAGTACGAAACATAAGAAGAAATGAAGTTACCTGGAGGATAATAGGGCGAGGGTTGTGGAGGTGGTGGATACGTTGATGGAGGATATGCTGAAGTTGGTGGGTATGGTGGGGGAGGATAGGCAGATGGAGGGGGACCATACGTGGATGGTGGATATGCTGCTGAACTAGGTGAGTATGAAGGATAGGGAGATGGAGCTGGGTAGCTTGCTGGTGGTGGTGGGTAAGGTCCAGATGCTGGTGGTCCATAAGGAGCAGGAGGCGGAGGGGTTGAATATAGATGAGATTGTGGTACATGTGGTGCTGCATATGGGGGAGCAGATGGAGCATAGCTTGCTGTTGGTTTCTGCAGTGACCCAAACACAGTAATTCAGTTGGATAGGTAATTAATATGAATACATACAAGACAATACTGTTCAATAGTAACCCGGTTATGATGAGAAAAAGTACAACTTACATTGGTCTTTGCATAATGCATGATTAGCCTCACTTCTCCTGCATATCTACAATGGAAAAGATTTAGTGTCAGAAGTCTAACAATTTTTCGATACAAAGGAATATTTCCCATAATCGTAGCAAAACGAAATGTAGATGCTAAAGGACAATTAGTTTGATGAACTTCTAGATACAAAAACCAATTCTGTGCTGCTGTTATAAAGGTAAGACAAAATTGGCTACTCAGGAAGGATGAAAAGTGTTGCAAGAACTTTTAGATATGAAACCATTCCCACCAGTTGTTTTCTCTTCTTTAGCCCAAATTGTAAATTAACACTCAACTTAATAAAAGGGATATATACCATACAAAATTTTAACCCCATGTCCAACCTACCGTGTCCTGAAAGGGATGCCCTGCACTACAGATAAGGAAGTATATCAATTCCCTCTCCTTTGATTTCCCCTCATTTTCTTCCTCATATAAAGGAAAAGCTAGTGACTGATTAACACCTAAGTTTGAGCTGTTGTGAGGATCGATAGATGGACCATAAAGCCATATGAAAGTCGTTCAATTGAATTTGTATTACTTTAAACTAATTGTTCCCTTGTAGAGTGATTTTCAGTGGAGATTCTGCAATCAGATGACACATAAATGTCATTGTATGCTAGGGACATCAGTCTACTTAGAGTTGATTTATTTCGACCATTAGATGCCCACTCGTGTTACAGCTTAAACATGGAAGGTGCTAACACAATTCGCCCCATGTTTACTCCTAAATCAACTGATAAACTAGCACGGTCCATTCATAATCCAACTTTCAAAACCCATTTCATCTAATGCAATGCGGGTCCAATACTAAGCTGTCTCATCATGCAAAAGAGTAAAATAAAAAACTTAACGAAAAGATGCAGTGTGATGTTAAAGCAACAGAGGGATGGAAACATAAAGATCATTGACTTAGCATGCACGGTATACAAAAAACAACCTCTGTGCACCTAGAGTTTTGACTAAGTACAGATGGAACAGGGAGCAATAACAATTGAGGTTAAGAACTTCGGAATATGGACATTCAACTAGAACATTGTAATTTGTACAGAAAAATAACAACACCTACATGTAATCTGATTCGTATCACCTATAAACCATTTAGATTTTATTATAGAACAAAATAAAACAGTTATGAGCTCAAACTTATGTAGTTACCTGCCAGTTTTTGTCTGGAGCGTCCAGGCACTGTCATCATAACCCTGTGAAAGAACCTTCTGAAGTTGAACCCTAAAAATAATCACACAAATAATCCAATTAGCAAACTCAAAAACCCAGAACAAGCAAAAGGGTATCTTAAAAAATTGCCTAAATTGAGATATTCAAACACAAAGGATGAGAATCATACTTTCCCTCGCCAATAAAGTCGTCCAAGGTGACAGTATTGCTGTTCCAGACCAGAACATTCAGTTCTCTAAGACCTTCAACCAACGGAAACACGAACTTCTCTTGGAATGTAGGATTTTTACCACCGTCTACACCAGATAAATCAAATTGGGCTTAAGTCCAATTTCAGATCTGAAGGTTTAGATTAAGAAAAGAACAAAAACCCAGGAGCAAGAACAAAACTTTAAGCCAAATTACACCAAGTAAAATTGCATAAAAATTGAAAAATACCTGTGCATGTTCTGGTACGGTGCTTGGTGTTAGCATATTCCAGACAAACATATGGGTCTTGCCGTGAAAACCATTCCGTATCCTTCAACTTGTTACAAGCAACAACTGCAGCACCAGATAATGAGAACCCACATCACAAAAACTCAGAATTGAGAAGAACAAAACCAGAAAACGGAAAATTAAACGAGAAAAAATAGAAAAGATGTTGATGGGTTATGTAGAATAAAATTGTAGGGAAGAGAAATTATACCAGTGACCTCAAGAAGCTGCCCTTGAATACCAGAAATCGACATGAACGAAGAGTTAGGAAACGAGTAGCGTGGTGGTGCAGACGAATAATGGGATGAAAATAGATATCTTGACATCTCTCCTCTGAAAGGTCTTGTCCTTTCTTATACAATAATGTAATTGCGCGTTTTGTCTTCTTTTTAATTTTGATTTTTAAATTAAAATTTAGAACATGGTTTGGTTAAAATAATAGCCGCAGTTAATGTAATTCGACGAGGGTTTTTAATTTTTTTTCCAGTTCTGGGACTTCGAGGAAGAAACAGGAGGCGATGATGGTTGGTTCCGTGAAATTAATGAAATCTAAGTTTCAGCGATGGAAAGCGCGTGGAACTAGCAAGACTTTCCTTTTTTCTTTTTTTCTTTTTTTCTTTTTTTCTTTTTGGTCTGAAGACTTTCCCTTTTTCTTTTTGGTTGAATTAAGGAATTAACACGCATGCGTGGTTTCCTCGCAAATATGGCTGCATGGGCGGACACGCTGTCCGAACGCGGCATATCTCTCTCTCTCTAATTTGGACACACGATTTTCTTACCACAGGCAATGACATAGGGGTGATTACTCCTTCTCATTAGGAATTTCGGGTTGATATTATGATTCTATTTTTTTCTTGTTGGATATTATGATTCTATTTAGAACTTCATTGTTCGGTTGAATTATTCTTGTCACGCGACAATACATATAAAATAAATTAATAAAACGAGTCATCAATTTGAACACATGCCTTTATTAATAATTAGATTGTATTGTCAATATGCCACTGAAGTTGTTTTTTCCCCAGTTGTATCAAGCTCAATGTATAATATATATACATATTATATATATGAACAACAATTATCGGGAAAAGGTCATGATGTTACATTGGAGACTAGTTGGAGTCTTTCTCCACCTTCATCGTGGTGGGAACTTGCCAACTTGGATACTCCATTTATTTATTTTCGTTTCTTTAAGAAACAATATATATATATATATATATACAGAGAGCTTATATTGAGGGACACTACTTGTAGGGTCCACTCCGAATTGTATTTCACTAATCCAAACCGTCTATTTTGAATACTCATTCAAAGATCATCTCTACAAAAAATCACTTGAATCCGATATCATTTGACCACTCAATTGAGTTATTGAAATTTTAGTACTTTCTTGAAGCACCGTATTAGTTGATTTTGTAAGACACAATTGGATGTCGAAACGGTTTCCGATTTGTCTAATTTTTTGTAAGGATGATCTATGAATAAAGACTTAAAAAATAGATTGTGTGGATCATTGAGAAAAAAATTGTATGGTGCCCTAAGTGGCGTCCCTCAAATAAAATTATTTGAAGAATCTCTCAATAGAAGGGGATTGATATATATATATATATATATATATATATGTATATATATATTGATAGCAGGCCAAAATGACAGAGTCTCCATTAGACCAAATCAGTGACATGTTAACAAGAAACATACAAATAAATCCCCAAGGCATTTGCTGGAAGTAAGGCAGAATGGGCTTCGCAACTAAGTTGAAATTCACAATGTTCGGGTTTGAAAAGTAGCATATATTTGTGAATTTGTCTTTGCTGGATTGCTTGTTGCAGGCAGGATAGCATAAAAACGATGGTCTAAATTATTCCAAATTATAGGGATGGAAACTCGAACTTGGATGCAAGAGGACGGTCACTGTCCTGCAAATGAAGGATAACATTAAAAAGCCAATACAAAAAGAAAAGAACAAAAGACTCGAAGTATACCCCAGAAAGCAGGAAATGATATATTACAGGTTTCTTTTTTTCTTTTTACAAAAAATAAAATGAATTCCAACAATTCCCATCACAGTTTGATGTTGATTATTCGCATCTCCAATAAAACTTTTTTGCTTGCTCAATCCACTAACCAAAAACATACTTCAATTACAAACTGAACGAATGGATTGAACATGACCTATTATCAGCAACTGCTGGACTTAAAGCTTGCAAACCATATTATGTACAGATTCTCTAATTCCAGGCACCAACGTCAACCCCCTGATTTACTCACTTTCATAGTCGTCATCATCTCCAAACGTGAAAACAGAGGCATCCGCGGCCATTGCCTTAAATTCACTTTCTGAGTTTGGAGCCTCGAGGCCTGGGACATTTCCACCACCAACAGAACCTTTTGGCTCACTCGCAGGAGGTACCTGTTTCGAGTCCACGTTTCCAATAGAAACTTGTTTAGTCGCATGTGTTAAACTTGCAATTTGATCTGGTTTGGTATTAGACTCAGAACTGGTGGTCGTACTGGCTACAGTTCCACCTACTGTTGCCGAAGTTGCTTCTGCTTGCCGGCTCTTGGAAGAGCTAGATTCCTCTGCCTCACTGTCTGAAAACACATCATCCTTATCTTGATTTCCTGGGCTTTTACTTTCTTGTGGAGCAGCTGTACCCACGTCATCCGAGGAAGGATTGGTACCTGAGCTTTCATCCGGTTTCTTAGTAGAAGTTTCAGTGTTAGGTGTCGTAGGAACATTGCCGTTATAATCCACTAAAACCACTTCAACCTGAAATCCCGGGGAAGGAAGTTTTCTCTGCAGAGAGCCCATTACAAACTACTGTTAAGTTGGCCATCCTTTTTAATGTTTTAACTAAATAAGAAATTATTGAGAAAAGGAGGGTGACATGTGTGCCTTAGTATTAAACAAATTTAAAAACAAAAAAAAGAAGCAGAGGGAGTCCTATGAGTCCAATTGAAATACAATCTCGACAACCGAGCACTCAATTCTATCATATAACGCTCCACTCCACTAAAAGCTCCCAGCTATATCTCCCGCACCACATGATGAGAATACGAGCAGTGATAGATGGCAAACACCAAAAGCTGAGTGATAATGCAAAAAAGTGTGCTCTCAAGGTGTAGAATGGCTCACATTGTTTCAGCCAACAGGTATAATTTGTAGGCAACATTTGATAAATAGCTAAAGTTCCAGGGCATTTTTCCACTTTAACACTTCTGACATAAGACCAACCCTTAACCAACCTCACCATCTGTTATTTTATCCAGGTTGTGGGGTATGGTAAAGTAAAAACAAAGCAAATATATTTCAATAATTTTAAGTGCTATACATGCAGGCCACCAAAAATGAGTTCCCAAGGTTCTGTATTTTGCTAGCACAAAGCATACATCTTGAAATAAAAATGCAAAATCAGCAAGAGATGTACCTTGTCAAACCCATCCAGATCGTTGTTGGTTAAAACTTTTCTATTTTCAGTCATCGTTGTGTTCAACCAGCTGGGAATAAACGACAATAACAGTATTAGAACAAAAGAGAATCTGTTCCAAGTCACACAAAGCATAAACGAATGGGAAGGAAGACTACATACCAGTAAAAATCTCCTTGACGATCATGAAAATGGATTTTGAAGTCCCCAACTAACTCTGTCAAGCCAAGTTCCCCTGGCAGCGCAAAGACCATTACACCCTTCTTTGGAGCAGAAAACCAATAATCTTCTGGCTGTCAATATAATTTACATGCAAAACCCAAGTTATCATAAGGACGGCAGAAAGCTAAAAATTACTAACCGGAAAAAGGCAGAACCTTTAATGAAACTTGTATTTAACTGTTATCAAACTAAAAAAACCTACCGAAAGACCCTTAGTTCTTGGATGCTCTTTCGTGGAAAAGAGAACACCTGAGAGCATTAAAGCAAAGGCATCAGCATAATGATAAGCTTATAAACATGAGTTTCAGAACTATGCAGTACTTAAACTCTAAGAAATACATGGTTTTCATGCGTTTATGAGTCTTTGCAAGCATTGGCAAGACATAGTTCAACACAAACAAAATGGATACATGTGCTTCCAAGTGAATCGTGAGACACATTTTAAGCTCACTATCAGGTCAGCTCTGAATATGGCAATGAGATCTTTACTCTCTGATATCTGTGTAGCAATTTTTTTTTCAAATATCCCACATTCATAATTTCATATAATGAATTTTTTCAGAGTTCCGAGGATTATTTAGTAAAAAGAAACGTGAAGAACTTGTTAGTGTTGAGTTAGGTCATCTTTCTACATTCAACAATGTGCAATAGTACTTGGAATAAAAAAACAAATGTAGAAGAAGATCTAGTTGCAGATAACCCTAAGAAGACAAAAGGCAAACATAACAGATGAACTGTGATGGTAGCAGGTTTATCATTAGACAGCATATAGGAAAGTGGAAGGGTGGTAACAGACGGAGTGAGGATGATGGAACACACCATTATGATCAGAAACAGTAATGGAGGGCCTGATCCAGTATGGGCACCTATGAAGCCGGAAGCCCCTAAGCATGCACCTGCATATGATGCAAACAAAATATTCCATCAGTGTCCATGTGAAAAATAAAGATACTACAAAATGGATATATAGCCAAAAGTATACCTGCGCCCTGGTGGGTTTTCACCATTGAAGTATGTTAAGATACGCTCGAAATATTTAACGTACCTCTAGAAAAACAACAGACAAAAATTAGCCCAACACATAAGATGTAAGAAAGGTAAGTGGTAAGAAATAAAAAATATGTAGCTCTTAAAAGAAAATAGAGCAAATGATACTAACAATCTGACTTGGAAGAACAAGCCCCTTTCCATCAATACATCTTTTCTGGTTGTAGTAGTCAATAGACTCCTCAGCGGTCGGAAAAAACTGAAGAGACGGCAAATAAGTCTATAACAATAACTAAACAAAATACAATATGAAACTGAGAAATTAACTCATTTTTCCATGAGATTCTTTTTCACACTTTCAGGAAAAATACTATGCCCAAATATACCTTCAAGTAAAGAAGAAGACTGGAAATCATCAATCCTGTTCTTGCCATTCCAGCCTTGCAATGCACAACGACAACATTCTCAATATCCTCTTTCAACCATGAATAAGCGCTTCGACAAAACAACGTTATTAGCTGAATTGGTGGGCAATTATGGTCATCAAATGGAAAACTAGCCACCTGTAGACAAAATGATAAATCAAATACAGGAAGCTGTCACAACAGAACATCTTTGTTTTGATAATTACAATCCAGACACAGCACATGTACTTCAAGTGATTATCCTTTGTTTACTACGGCCTT